TCCAGCTGCTGGTAATAACCCGGGTGGTCATTTGCAACGCTCTACCTGACAGTTATTCCACACTTGAGAGAAGTGGGCCTAACGTCTGCTCTTGACCTGTCCCCTGGGAAGACTCTCCTACACACGTGCAGGTGTGTCTGAGACTAGGACCCTGATGGACATTTGAGGGGTAGCTTTTTTGTAAGGTTCACCCAGCTACCACCTCTCTAACCCAGTTTCTGTTCCCTCAACCTAACAAGATTTTCCCCCTCTGCTGGGGATGGTCCTGGTCCAGAGGCTCTCTGGGTGCAAACCCTGTACAGTAACAGCACCCACCTTGCTTGTCCCTTTTGTCTGGGTAATTGCCATCCTACATCACAGACCGACTTCGAGTCCCTGGGTTTTAGTCACCTTTAACCCAGCTTGCTTTTCGACATGGACTTGCTGGCATATTCCAGTACTCATTGTGACTGATAGGAGGAGTCCCATGTGTGTACATTTTCTGCTCTCTCTCTCTCTCTCTCTCTCTCTCTCTCTCTCTCTCTCTCTCTCTCTCTCTGTGTGTGTGTGTGTGTGTGCATGCGTGCGCTCATTTCAAATCCCAATCCTCCTCCAGTTTTTCCCATAGTTATTTTTGTTTGCTGTCCTGCCTTTTTAAAATAGACGTGCAGTTACATAATCTACAGATCGAATTTGACATGTCTTTTGCCATTCTCAGTGTCTGTGGTTTTCCAATTGAATTGGCTCATATGGGAAACTATAGTGGGCACTATCCCCAAGTCTTACTTTTGGCAGAAAGTCCCTAACATTCCCTCCTTGAGTAGGACACTTGGATTCTTTGCTTTTATTTCATGTATTTTTGGGTAATTTTCTCAAGAGATTGCCAGCCCTTGAGAGCCAGGACTTGGCATAACTCTTATTTACATGTCAAGTACTCTTTATTTGAGCAGAGAGAGACTAAATTTCCCCAATTATGTCATGTTCTGTGCTAGTCCCCAGTGTTGAAAACTAGCAGAATCCAGCTTCATCACATTTCTGGCCACGGCTCTCTTCCCCAACTCCTCTCCCCCTCCCAAGAGGACCTAGTGGAGAATTATAAATACTACACAGCGAACACAAGTGTGATACATTTTTCAGCAGTGGAGTAAACATTGTAGAAGCCCACTGCAGAGTGGATTAGCCCAGTTTAGGGAATCAGAGCCACCTGTATAAAGCAAATCCATTATTATTGCAAATGAAAGCCAGAACGAGGATGTAAATCAGAGATGAAATTTTGCAGTCTGTTAGGTGGAACCAGTCTGGAGACTTGGCAAGCCTGGCCAGGACTTTTAACTTTTCCTTTAAATATAGTAAAAGACTTGCTATATTGCTCTCTCGCTCTCTCTCTCTCTCTCTCTCTCTCTCTCTCTCTCTCTCTCTCTGTGTATATAAGTCTGATAACTCTCTCTCTCTCTCTCTCTCTCTCTCACACACACACACACACACACACACACACACACACACACACACACATATATATCGGAAAAGAAATTGTGGGATGCCGAGTGTGCTACTGTTGTTAGCTGTCAATCATTAAGGCTGCTTTTTCTAGATTGGGGTAGCTACCTCAAATGGGTTTAGTTCCAAGAGCTAAGCATTACTTCTTTTATAAACAGGAAATGCATGTGTGAGCCCTTTGTTTTTAAGTTAGAAATACGCAGTTCTTTGTGCCATGGGAACTGTTACAGAATCTGCATTCTTCCTTAAAGTAAGAAGCATAGGTATATTAGAGACTAATGACTGGTGATCTGGTTTCTACTCATCCTGTTGCTTGGTCTGAAAAGAAATTACTAGGCCGTAGCAGCTTTGGTTTCTTCCTGTGCTAGGTGACTGTGAAGGGTGAAGGACTCACTTGCTCGGCGTTTCGGAGTTAGCGGGCACACATCTGCCAACCCTTCAGTGCGGTTCTTCTTCAAGAGCCTTAGCTACTGAATGACAAGAGAGCAGAAAGAAACCACCAGATGGGGAGACCATAAGTATAAGCGTTATTTATGATCCCACCACTTGATACGAGTGAGCAAGCCCAGGCTTTCAAGAAGTCAGTGTCTCAATGCCACAGAGCTGGAGCGGGATCCCCACCAATCCATACCAGAATTCACGCCATCACCACGCTGTGGCTCTTAGCCTCACACAGCTTCGCTCCTGGTTGGTTGTCAGAGCTGCAGAAGTGTGCAAAGCGGAACTATTAACTCCTCTCAGTGGTTAGTTAGTGACGTGGGAGCCATTAATCCTCAGTATTTCGTTATCCAGGTGGGAAACATTAACCCTTCCTAGGATTTATTTAAAGAAGTGAGGACCATTAACCCCTCTTAGTATTGAATGAGTGATACTGCAAACAAAATTTGTCAAAAGAAAGAATTTTTTTTTATTGAAAACCTTTTAGGTGTTCCCAGTCTGTTGCCTGGCGTTTTAACTAGCCGGCTGCTAGGGTATAGTTACAAACGTCATGTTTATTACACTGTTTCTTTTTCCGGTATTTGCCACCAGGAATGGTAACTAAGGTTCTGTGAAACTCTCTGTGGAGAGCACATATGTTCTGCTGCCGTGGTAAAGAAGGCAGCGTGTGAGCACATTCGTGTCTGTGGGGCCGGAACTGCCTTCTCTGGGTTAGCATGGAAATCTAAGTGATGCGTCTGTTAAAGTATTTTTGATAGCAGTGCACGGAAATTAAATTATCCAGTTCAGCTGATATGAGTCAGGAACATCCCAGGTAATAAACAGCGAATGTTGGATTTTAGCAGAGACTATCGGTTTGTTTGTTTGTTTGTCTTTTTGACGTCTGAAGAGGACCATGTTCAAGTAAGAGTGAGCATATGGAAAAGAAGCAGTAGCTGGTTTTGTGTTCGAGGGAGTTATCAGTTTCTAATAGCACTGATGCTTTTCTGAAATCCCAGTCTTTTTCAACGCTGAGCATTGTCACATTTCTATTCACTTAGAATGACAAGCCATGAGCAATATTTATTCATTTGTCTTTCATTTTTATATAATATGAAGAACATTTTTAAAGTGATCTGTGCCTATAAGTGCATACATACATGCATATTTACACACACACACACACACACACAGCATATATCTCAGATTCAGTCCCTGTTTAAATATACAGAAGACACCTGTCTAACCCCTGTTCCTGGAGTTTACGGTTTTATATACCCCTAGACCTATCAGAGTTTATATAGGTGTACATACGTGTGTATGTAACACACTAACCTGCATACCAGGTGGTGGGGCTGGTCTTAGATGCTTGGCCATCTAGTCTAGAATCCACAGCATGGCACTTTCCTTCATCCTGTTCTTATTTACTGTTCTGGAAAAGGATTTAACGTATCGTATGTCTAACATTAAAATCCACAGTTTCGTATGCTCCTCTGGGGATTTCAGAGCATGGCTGTAATATGTAGATGGGCATTGTATGGAAAGTCTAAGGCAAACCACCACGGTGTCACTCCACCTTTCCCACGTATGTGGGCTACTCTGTGCCCAGCTTTCACACACACACACACACACACACACACACACACACACACACACACACACACGTTACTCTGTGCTTGTATGAAGGTTTGGCCAGGAGACCTGCCCTTTGACAAACTGCGGTAGTTGCTCATTGAATGTGTTTCTTGTTTTGCTTCTTCTGCCTTTAAATAAGCAAGTTGTGAGTGGTGAAGAAGTGGAGGGGTCTTTCTGATGGCTCTCGCTCTCATCTGTATGATTTACATTGTGGGCACAAATAAATGATGCTTCTGTGCTGTTAACACAATAGTTGAAATAAGCGCAGCCGGGTTTTCCTGCATGTTTAATGCCTTACATACCTGCATTCACTCCTTCTGCTGTTTCTAACTGAGGGCATCATAGCAGTTCCTTCATTTGAGCAATGCAGCTGTAGTCCGTTGAGTGTGGTTTCGTTAGTATTGTTCTATTCTACAGTAACAATTCTCTACCTTACCTACTTGGGGGAAGAATGAATAGCTGTTCAGGGTTACATGTCATGGCATGGCTCCGTCTTAGGAATCGTGGTACCTCTCATTTATTCATTGTCAGTGCTTTGAGCCTCTGCCCTTCTGGGAACTGAAAAACCAACAACAAACACGTGCTTAGCAAATAAACAGACTCTCTCCTACCTTCTCTTAGTGAGGTGAGTGTGTTGGACAATGGCCCCTAATCATGGAAGTTAGTGTAGTACTCAAAAAAAAAAAGTTGTTAGTTACAATGTTGCAGTTTCCCCACAATCAACCTGAAAGAATTCCCCTTTCCCTTTCTTTTTCTCAACTAGCTTCAAGGAAGAACTGGGGGTGTAACTTAGAGAAAGTGTTTGCCCTGGAAGTACAGGACCCTGGATCTGTCCCCAGACAAGCAACAGTGTTGGCAGGGTGGTATTTGATGGAAAATAATATATAATAAAACTGAAAGTGTCTTTACAAAATGAACAGCCAAAAGGACTGCAGACACCTTAGTGCTTTTCCAAAGTCACACTTTGGCCAGGTGGCAGTGGCACCCGGCACGTTGCTTGTGTGCCTCCCTGGAAGGAGGTGTACAAATCAGTGGCTCCCAGGATGAGAGACAGTTGTCCCTTCTCTTACAACTGTGAAAACCACGAGAAAAGGTTGAAGGCTATACAAGACAAAGAGAGACCTTTGTTAAAGTGGAGTGCGTGTGGAACTCCCACCGTGACCGTGGCTGATGGAATGGGCTCTGAGCGGGATGTCCCTGAGTCACTGTCCTTTCTACTGTCATGCTCAGTCCCTGCTGCTCCATAGCTAATCGCTCCTTCTGGTGTTGATCAGCTCTCTGTAGCTGTGAGATCTCTATACCGCACTGTATTGTGATTTCCAAACTGTTTTGTCTCACTCTTTTTTTGAATATTATTATAAAAATTTAGTTTCTAATGATTGAAAGTCATTCTGTATAGTCATCTCTTAAAAATGCGAAAATTTTCTGAGTTTTACCTTGGAAATTAGTTTATTTATTATGTTTAATTTTAGGAAATGGTGCTCTTGCAGAACTTTCTGAAAACGTGCATATTTCAGGAGTGTCAACTGGTAAGTCATCTTTTGTAATGTTTAAATTTCATGCATGACTTCTATGGTAAATATTGAAAACCCCCTGGTATCTTCTGAAGTGATATTTGGCTATAAAAATTATTGCTGCTTTTGCCGCATGTAATACGGAGGGAAGGAACTGGAACATTGAGGAATTCTAATAAGATAAAGTGATATTGCATGCCTGAGGGTCGATTATACTTTTCCAAGCAGAATACGTAATTATTTTCATGTGGAAGTTAAACCAAGAAAAAAGCCAACTCAGGTGGAATTAGGTATTTTCTCTCCGTGCAAACTTGTATAAAGTGAAATTAATTTTGAATGTTATCTCTAGAATCTACAGCCTTAGAAAGGAAGTGTCTTGTTAGATGTTTTAGATGAGAGCGATACTCCACAAGAACCTGTTTGCTTGAGAGCACAGCCTGTTACTGGAAAGCAGTCCATTAGCATGCTTGGGTCTGTGGAGCTCAGAAGTCTGAGGGAGAAGCAGGTTCTTATTCCGCCATAGCTACAGCTTCATGACCAAAGGCTACAACTACACCACAGCTTGTGGGTGACCTCCAGTCAGATACTGTATTTGCTCCACTCGATGTCGTTAGCGGTACATCAGACACAATTTATTTTTTCATGTATGGATATAGTTTCTCACTTCTAATAATTAGTAACAGTTCTTCATTTCCCTGTGTTATTGGTAAGATTTGGGTAGTTAAAAGTGACACAGCAATATTTATCAGTCCACTGAGTTTTTAATTATAAATTTGTTGTTGGTTTCGTGTCTCTGACTTTGTTCTCAGGGAGTTAGTGGACTTGCCACTGTCTCTGGCTAGTCTGTGTGCTCACACACCTGGCCCCCCCGAAATCAAGCTACTCTGTCCATCCCTTCCTTCTCCACAGGTTCTTAATTGCCCATCAGTTTTACACCTCAAATAGAAACAAAGATGTTGTAGTTTTATCTTACTTATTATCATATGGGGGGCACACTTGATGTGGTCAGAGAACAATCTGTGGGAGCTGGTTCCCTTCCACAAGTGGGCTACAAGTTTTAAAGAGGACCCCCCACTTTAATAACAAATGAGAATTGTGATCACAGTCCCAACTCACAGCAGGAAATCGTGTTTACAAATACTTTTATTTCTACATCCAAAACTCACAAGTTTTTCTAACTTAAATCTCAGTACATCTTTCAAATGTTGGTACTCTGAGCCTGCCGTAACAGGTTAAGCTAAGCAGAAGCAGTTTCCTCCAAGTTCTAGAAGCTGATGTCCAAAGTTAGGCGCCAGCAGGGTTGCTTCCTGGTGTAACCCCTCCTTACTGTTCCAGTGGAACATCTCCCTGTGGGCTCACCGACTATTCGGGAGTGCTCAGAGGAAAACGCGGAGTCTCTCTCCCTTTACAGTTCTTTTTACAGGACGTTAAGAGTAGTACCAGAGTGCCCTCGGCTGCTTTGTTCCGATGGAAATCACGTGCCCACAAACTGCATGTGTCAGTAACCCCCAAGCTTTGGTAATCGGGACTCTCAACTCTTAGCATTACAAGTCCTTGGTGGTGTTCTGTGACTGACTTTTCCTGGGTAGACACAACACACAGAGTTTACCCAAGTCACCTCAAGAGAGGGAGCCCACGACAGACCAGACTCCAGCTTGGCGAGCCATTGAGTTTTACTGGGGTTACGTTCAGGGATATGAGTGAGGGTTACTTACAGAAGCAGAAATGACTCCAAACAGCTGCATCACCAAAGCCCACCCCCGCGTGAGTGAGTGACAGTTGGCCAAAGCTGGGATCCTGGAGCACACTGCACAGCCTACAGGCAGCTCAGAGGGTTGGAGGGTTTCCTTTCCAGGTGCCTCAGCTGGTCTAAACCTCTTCCAAGCAGCTGGTCTGTTCCTGTCTCTCTGAGGTAGCTGATCCGCAGTCAGGCTTCCTTGCAGACTGGCTCGTCTGAGAGCTTTCTTGTCTGAGAGCACCCCTCAGCCCTCCTGACTATTTACTCTCAGAGGGAGGGGCCCAGTGAATCTGGTCAGTTTCGGGAACTTCCTGAAGCCGTTTTGAGTTGTTCACCTTGTGTCTTAAAGAGCTCACTCCCACTCCGGGATGGGATGTTATAACAAAGAAGCCATCAGACAACAGATAGTCCCGGAACTCCTCCAGTTGACTGGGCCAGGCCTCTCCTCTCCGCATTCTGTCCCGTTGCTCCCTGGAGTCTTAGGCTGCTGCTGCTGCTTGTTCCCGAAGCTGGCAGCCATGGGAATTTGGTTCTTGGTAAAAACCAGCTCACCCCGCTTCCCCTTGATAAAGACCACTGACAGATAATAAATCGGCGAATGAGTCTGTGTTGGTGTGAAGGCTGCAGCACCAGGGTTACAGTGCCTAGGACAGAGACCCTGGAGAGGGTGAGAGCACGCTGCTGTGTGAGGTCAGAGGTCACACACAGCTGCTATGAATGGGGGCATGCTCCGGGTAGACCTGTGTGAGGTCAGATGTCACACACAGCTGTTATGAATGAATGGGGGCAGTGCTCTGGGTAGACCTGGGTGAGGTCAGAGGTCACACACAGCTGTTATGAATGAATGGGGGCAGTGCTCTGGGTAGACCTGGGTGAGGTCAGAGGTCACACACAGCTGTTATGAATGAATGGGGGCAGTGCTCTGGGTAGACCTGGGTGAGGAGGTCAGAGGTTATGTGTAAGGTCATCTGGAGTAGCTCCAGACCGGGTCATTTAAGGGCCTGTCATTGGAGCTGTCACAGCCAAGCCTTCCCAAGCAAAGCAGTGGCCATGAGGACCGCAGGGGTTCCTGAGGCCGTAGTCGGTCACCTTAGGTGTTAGTCATTGGTGTAAGTCACCATCCGCCATCATCTGCAGGTCCAGCCTCCCCTCAGCTGTGGGGAGGCCCTCAAAGTGGACATAAAGAGTCAGGGAGGAAGCCGCCGCCATGGCCCTGGTGAAAACGGCGGAGCTGTGGCCGCCTTCCTGATGAACTTTCGGGGGCAAAAGCAGTTACCACCCACGGCCCCGCTGGACCCGGGAACCATGGAGACAGACGCACTTGCTCTCAGGAGGCCTTGGCCATGTCCAGCTTGGGACGGTGGTTGCCCGCTTGAACTTTCTCAAAGTTAACCCCTAGTCTCCCCTTAGTGGCCTGTCTCGTTCCACTAGCTGTGGCCAGGTGACTAACCACCCCCCTCCACCTTTCAGACGATGGGGTTATGAGGCTGTTGATGAATGCCTCCCACAGAAAGCATCTTTCTGTGTAGCTCAAGTTGTCCTGAAACCCCAACGCCCCTGCCTTGGGAGGCTGGCATTGGAGTTGCCGGTTCCCAGCACCGTGCCCAGTAAGAGTCCATGTGTTTGATCACCCCCAGTACTTACAAATCCAGTTTAAAACAGCAAGAATGGGTTTTATTGCAAGCTTGTGTCCAGAGCAGAGTTTTATTAAAGTATATTTTCAAGACAGACGTGTCCACAGTATTACTGCTTCCTGATATTGTGAAGTTTTTATTGGTGGATTGGAAGTGGCCGGGCTCTCAACATCTGTTTCTGCATTCAGTCTTCTGCAGTGTTTTATTGGACACGTGAAAGTGATGTGATTGATACGTAACTAAAAGCCCATAGGAGTGTCTTAACAGTCTTCTCCAGACAATTGTGACTGCCCTTTGTTGCAAAAGTCCAGCAACCGGTAGCTTCTACAAGGCGAGCTGCAGGTGCATCTGAACGCACGTGTGGGCTGCTTGTGCTCTGTGACACTGCGGGGTGGCTGCCTTTGGTCTCCAGGTGCACTTTCATTACCGGGTATGATTTTATAGTTTGTCAGTCACCTCATCCTCCTTGCTGAGTTGCTCAATGTGGAGTGGGAAAGCTAGAGGAATTTAGACATGTCCGATGTCAAATTGTAAATCTAGTACCAGTGCATCAGGACTGAAGTATGCTTCTTACTTTTGTCTGTTGGCTTGAGGCCAGGCCGCTGGACTCTTGTTTAGGATTCTCCTCTTGGAGAAACATCAGCCGAGAGTCACACTTTCAAAGCCTTCCCCCACTTAGGAATGTCAGACACGCGTAGACATAGTTATTGTTTGCTGGGGCTGCCATACCAAAGCACCGCAGACTAAACAACATAATGTGTTTTCTCGTGAGCCTGGAGGCGAAAAGCCCACAATCAAGATGTGGCAGGGATGGTTTCTTCTGTGTTCTCTCGGTGGCTTTTAGATGCCATCTTACTGTGTCCTGCCCTGGGATCCGTTCTGGTGACTTCTGAAGTCCCAGCCCAATGTCCCACCCAGGTGACCTCATTTTAACCTAATTACCTCATCAAAGAGTCTCCCTGTAATCCACTGAAATACTGGCATTAGGACTTCAATAATCGAATTTTGAAGACAATGTAACTCATCCTATAACAGTGTATATTCCAATTATATGGATTTATATATCAATAAAATACTCCATTCCAGAAGACAGCAAAACCGTATCAATATGGAATGTTTTTTCTGAAGGTGAGTCTTATCATCCTTCTATGAAGACCAGCATATAAGACCCATCCCTATTACACATTAAAGAGTGTAAACAGATGCTGTCTCAAAGGCTTTGACCAGTGAGGAAAGCTACACATGCATTGCTAACCCTTGTGTGAAGTGTTTCGGGTTTGGAATGTTTGGGGACTGGACTATGTATGTATGTAGACTTTATTAATTAGACATCTCTAATCCAAAAATCTGAAATCCAGAATGCTCCAAATCGTCTGTAATAGTAACCAAAAAAAAAAAACAAACAAAAACAAAAACAAAAACAAAAGAAACCTTTCAGACTTCAGAGAATTTTGGATTTCATATTTTGAGGCTAGCAAAACGCATGCTGTACAGGTTTCTGAAATCCTTGCATCCAGTAGAATTAGGTCCCCTGGGTGCTGGTCACAGGCTGGGCCGTCTCGCAGGGCAGACTCTAATGTCAGCACGGCTTCCCTTGAAGAAGCCGAGCTCAGGATGCTGCGTGCTCTGCCCACTCTGCGCTC